ATTTTTCTATTTTTTATGCGTGGCACTGGTTCGACCGCCTGTTTTATACCTCCGGTTCATTTAAAAACCGGCCGGTTTACTTGGTTTTTTGGATCTGATTGCAGGTTGGTCTTTTTAGCTTAAAAACCGTTAGGGGTGCCAGTTCTGATTTTTTCCGGTCCGACTGCGTGTCCGGTCTGGTTTTTTAAACTATGAGCAGAACCCCTGCACCTGATGCACCAGCCGCTTATATTACAGGACACTGGATTACTACAAAACTCGTAAGATTATAAGTTTCAACAATGACTTACTATTGGAGCAAATTACAGGATAGCGAGGTAGCACAGCAAACACTGTACATGCAAAAAAAATAAGAAAAGGGACTGTCCCATTTTTACTCTGGGCATTGCTGCACGTACACTAGATGTGTATAATATGTGTTTGTCAAAAAAAAAAAAAGAGGTGTGTATAGTATGTGGATCATTGTACAAACGGCCCATAAGTAGTTGGTGCACTGGATACATTCTCCTCTATAACTAGCTAGCGCCTTGCATAGCGCCGGCACATTGATTGATTAAGAGCTTGTTTGGAAGCTCTCCAGACTCTCAACTCCGCTCCGCGCGAGGAGCTGGGTTCGAGCCGCTCCACGCGACTGAGCTGGCGCTCCCGGAGCTGCAGCTGGGGAGAGGAGGGGATCCGAATAGGGCCTAAGTAATACTACTCCACTGGAACTGGGGTCCTTATAGTAGCGTTGAATTCAGCGAGCTCAACACATCATCTCCCCAAACCATATACTTGGTGTATCTTTCTCTAAGCAAACATCGTTCCTATTATTACTATATGTGCTTTCAAAAACAAAGATTGGCATGATATTTATTCAAACCATGAATTTGTGAGGACAAATATACGCATGACGGGTTTTTTTGCGGGGGACATATACACATGACGTTGTTTATTTCTTTAAAAGATGCAACTATTGCCGCAACTCTAGTTATGTGACAATATCAATGTTTTCGCATCATGAACCATCATACACTAGGAGTGTATTATGTTGAAATATATTGCCCACCTCCCTCCATCAGTTCGGACTTTTGGATGATTTGGCTGGAGCATGAATTCAATATGGTATCAGAGCCTCCTCTTCCAAACCCTAGCTTTCAATCTCCACCAGTGACAGCCATGTCTTCCTCCAGTGCCACCCAATCCAATCTAAGCGGTCAGGTCACGGAGAAGCTCTCCCGAACGAACTACGTCCTGTGGCGTACCCAAATCACGCCGCAGTTGAGGGGAGCCGGCCTCTATGGCTACGTCGACGGCACCCAGCCGGAGCCGTCCCGCCTTCTCGTCACCAAGGACAAGGATGGGAAGGAGTCGTCCGAGCTCAATCCTCTCCATCCCATCTGGGTAAGGGAGGACCAATAGGTTTTAGGCTACCTGCTCAACAACCTCACCAAAGAGGTGCTCATCGCGGTCACCGTGGTCACCACCGCGCACGCACTCTGGACAGCACTCGCAGGTATGTTCTCGTCGCAGTCCTTGAGCCGCGTCAACAACATCCGCATTGCCTTGATCAATGCGCAGAAAGGGAACCAATCGGTGGCCGCCTACTTCGCCGCCATGCGTGGCCTTGCTGATGAGCTCGCCGTGGCCGGCAAGCCCATCCAGGACGATGAGCTGATCTCGTATCTGCTTCACGGACTGGACATGGACTACCAGCCGCTCGTGTCTGCCCTGGATGCCCGCGTCACGCCAGTGTCCCTTGATGAGCTCTATGCCATGCTGAGCAACTTCGACCAACGCGTCGCCCAGTGCCACAGTGCTGGCGGCGGGTTCAAGTCTTCAGCGAATGCAGCAACCCGCGGGCGTGTTGGGTACTCCTCCCGGCACCGCGGTCCACCTCGCACCAAGGGCAAGCACAACAGCGGCAACACCAACAACTTCGGCTCCCGCGGCGGTCGCCCCAACTCCACCAACAACAGGGGTCGCCGCGGCGGCTCCAGCCGTTCGCGGCCCGACGTTGTTCGCTGCCAAATCTGTGGAAAACCAGGTCACACTGCCAAAGATTGTGGGTATCGTTTTGACGAAGATGATGCCTCCTCTGAAGATGATGAAAAAGTTGTTGCCGCCGCTGAAGGATCCTATGGTGTTGAAACTAACTGGTACTTTGATAGTGGTGCAACCAATCACCTCACGGGGGAGCTGGAGAAGGTGACTCTCCGTGAAAAATATCACGGGAAGGACCAGATTCATACGGCCAGTGGTGCAGGTATGAACATACGTCACATTGGTCACTCGGTTATACGTACCCCTTCTCGTAAAATTCATCTTCGCAAAATTTTGCATGTTCATAGTGCCAACAAAAATCTCCTATCCGTTCATCGCATTACCATCGACAATCATGTCTTTATTGAATTCCATCCTTTTCTTTTTGATAAAGGATCGAGCCACGAAGAAGGTACTATATCGAGGTAGATGCGTTCGAGGGCTTTACCCATTGATTTCGGAGCTTAGGAGATTCAATAAACAAGCCCATGGTGTTGTCAAACTTTCTTCAACACGTTGGCACGATCGTTTAGGGCATGCTTCTTTTTCTCTTGTTGAACATTTGCTTAGGAAAAATAAGCTCCCGTTTGTTGGTGAGCGGAATGTTGAAACTATTTGTGATTCTTGCCAAAGAGCAAAATGTCATCAATTACCTTATCCTATTTCTACAAGTGTCTCTACTCAACCATTGCAATTAATTTTCTCCGATGTTTGGGGCCCTGCCCCTAGCTCTGTTGGTAGACACACGTACTATGTAAGTTTCATTGATGACTATAGCAAATTTTCTTGGATCTATCTTCTTAAGAAACGATCCGACGTTTTTCAAGTGTTCAAAAACTTTCAAGCACTTGTTGAACGCAAGTTTGATAGCAAGATCATTGTTGTCCAATCCGACTGGGGAGGGGAATACGAGAAATTAAATTCCTTCTTCCAAACACTTGGCATTTCACATCATGTGTCAAGCTCATCTGATGAAGCTATAACAGGATTGTTGAAGGATCTCAGTGTAGAGTTTGCTCTTAAGGATCTTGGAGACTTGCATTATTTCTTAGGGATAGAAGTGAAGAAACATGATGGTGGACTTCACTTGTCTCAAGAAAAATATGCAACTGATCTGGTAAGAAAGGCTGGTCTGCAAGGTTGTAAACCTTCACCCACTCCATTATCAAGTTCAGAAAAATTATCTCTCACAGAAGGACAAGCCTTGAGTCAGGAAGACAGCACTAAGTACAGAAGTCTTGTAGGTGCACTTCAATACCTTACTCTTACAAGACCTGATATATCATTTGCTGTTAACAAAGTCTGCCAATTTCTTCATGCACCCACTACTGTTCATTTGACTGCTGCCAAGAGAATAGTTAGATATGTCAAGAACACCCTTAATATTGGTCTCAACTTCAGTGAGTCATCATCTACACTTCTTAGTGCCTTCTCAGATTCTGACTGGGCAGGTTGTTTGGATGATAGACGTTCTACTGGAGGATTTGCAGTGTTCTTTGGCCCTAACTTAATTTCATGGTGTGCAAGGAAGCAGGCCACTGTCTCTAGGTCCAGTACTGAGGCAGAATACAAAGCATTAGCAAATGCTACAACTGAGATCATATGGGTGCAGTCTTTATTGAGAGAGCTTGGTGTGAAAAGTAAACAAGTTCCATGCTTATGGTGTGACAATTTGGGTGCAACTTATTTGTCTGCTAATCTTGTTTTTCATGCCAGAATGAAACACACTGAAATTGATTTTCACTTTGTCAGAGAACGAGTGGCTCAAAAACAGCTTGATATTCGCTTTGTGCATTCCAAGGATCAGATTGCAGATGGATTCACCAAGGCTCTACCCACTAGAAGTTTTGAGAACTACAAACATAATCTCAACTTGATGAAGTTGTGATTAAGGGAGGGTGTTAAACACAGTATGCACTATGTCACGTATGGAGTGCATTGTCACGCATGGAGGAGTCCAAGACTTAGCGCGGGATCTAGGATAGATAGTTGGTTCGGTTTACATGTAATTCTATCTCTTTATCTCCTGTAACTACTTCTATCTCTTGTTCTTCAAGTTGTACACCTCTTGTAAAATCTCCAACGATGTATGCACTTCCAGGGAGGTGCGCCCCTGTATATAACACGTAGCACGTCGCCTCAGGTCGAGGTAAGACATTTCCGCCTGTCGCACATGGTATCCGAGCCAAAAGGTCTAGAGTTCAAGACCCTGCCAACGCAGTATTAAATAATATGATTCTGCGGCCTACATCGATCCCACGTCTAAGGACTAAAATAGCCTAGACGTGAGGGGGAGTGTTGAAATATATTGCCCACCTCCCTCCATCATTTCGGACTTTTGGATGAGTTGGCTGGAGCATGAATTCAATATATTATTGATGCATCACTAAAGTTATGTTGCTAATTCAGTTGATAGAGGATTCATGTTTCCAATTGTTAAATATGTTTGTATAATACTCCGCATCAATAGTAATGTGTCTGGAATGTTATTGGCACATGTCTTTGCAAAAATAAATAAAAAGTATTACCGGTAGTAAGTATGCAGTGAATATTGGCCATGACTTAAGCTATGTGTAATGGACCATTGAAGCAAAGAGATGGATTATTCATGGGAGAGCAAGCGAGCCCAGCAAGGGCTGGCCCATTTTTTACTGTATTTTGTATACTATTAGGACCACTGTACAAATGTGCTATGGAGCTTCTGCAAAAGTGGCTGTAGCTGGATCTTGTCCATTATTCCTCCTCTATCAAACGGCCCATAAGTGGCTGGGTGCACCAGTTCTGCCGGTTGCACTGGATACATGGGATCTTGTCCATTATTCCTCCTCTATGGAACGGCCCATGAATGGTTGGGTGCACCAGTTTTGCAGGTTGCACTGGATACATTCTCCTATATAACTAGCTAGCGCCCTGCATAGCGTCGGCACATTGATTATGTAAGTAACACTACTCCACTAGCACTAGGCGAAACAATATATATGGGTTTCTACACGCGTTCTTCCTCGCAAGCACGGGTAGCTTGGGTGCTCCTGCTGCTATGCTCGTGCACGCTGTTAATCAGGGCACACGGAGGAGGATCTCGCAAGGTACGTAATAAGCTTGATCGTACTATATGCATGTTTAGAGTTCATGCACATACGACTCTAGTATACGTAACGGTGCATGTTAAATCCTAGTAGATAATTAATTGACCATGAATAATATATATATCTGCATGTATGCCTCTCTAGCTTTACATAACCTACCTAGGCGATGTGAGGCATGGGCACCCAGATGATGTCGTCGCCTCGCACCATGACATGCTCGGCACTCTTCTCCAAAGGTACTTTGTAGAACGAAATTAGTTAATCAAACGGCCTTTGCTTAATTTGCACCACTGACTTTTGAAACTTTGTAGCAAGGAGGAATCTGTGGCCTCCATGGTCTACCACTACAAGCATGGTTTCTCGGGCTTCGCCGCCATGCTCACCCAAGACCAAGCAACAAGACTTGCAGGTCATCGCACAGAGTTTTGCTTTGATTTCTAGCTAGCTAACCTGGTTTGATCTAAGATCCATCAAGTCCTATAATAAGTAGCTAACGTGCATGCTTACGCGCGTGCAGAGTTTCCGGAAGTCATCAGCGTGAAGCCGAGCAGGAGGGTCAGGACGACCACCACGCGGAGCTGGGACTTCCTTGGGCTCAACTACCAGTCCTCCCACACGCCGGCCAGTGAGCTGCTCCAAATGAGCAACTTCGGAGAGGACGTAATTATCGGAGTTGTTGACACCGGTCAGTCATTATATTAATTGGCACCATCTCAGCTTACTTTTACTTGGCCGTCCACTCACTAATATTAGTAGTTGGTTAATGGATTGAAAGCCGGCCACTAACTAATATACTACTCCCTCTCCGTTGCTAAATATTTGTCTTTCTAAAGATTTTAACAAGTGACTACGTAATCGGTTAATGGATGCAGAGATCTGGCCGGAGTCAAGAAGCTTCAGCGATGTAGGGTACGGGCCGGTGCCATCGAGGTGGAAAGGGGAGTGCCAGACCGGGCCGGACTGGGGCATCAACAACTGCAGCCGGAAAATCATCGGCGCGCGGTTCTACACCGCTGGGGTCCCCGACGAGTACCTTAAAAGGGACTCGCTGTCGCCGCGGGACCACAACGGCCACGGCACTCATTGTGCTTCCACCGCAGCGGGCTCGGCTGTAGGCGTGGACGGCGAGGCGGCTAGCTTCCACGGCCTTGCCGCGGGGGTGGCGCGGGGAGGCGCACCGCGGGCTCGCATCGCGGTGTACAAGTCCATCTTTGCTGGCTATGGCGATTCGGCCACTGTGCTGGCCGCCATTGACGACGCGATCCACGACGGGGTGGATGTATTGTCGCTGTCCCTCACTGTGCCGTACGAGAACTCGTACGGTGCCCTGCACGCGGTCCAGAAGGGGATCACTGTGGTGTACTCCGCCGGAAACGACGGGCCCAGGCCGCAGACCGTCGAGGACACCTCGCCGTGGGTCCTCACCGTCGCGGCGAGCAAGATCGACCGCTCGTTCCCGACGGTGATCGAGTTGGGAAACAAGCAGCAGATGGTGGGGCAGTCTCTCTATTACCAAGTGAAGAACATCAACTCATCATCACACACGACTAGCAGTTTCACAAAGCTTATATGTGCACGCTCGTGAGTACAAACGAAAAAACTCCCTATCTCTGACCTGATCAACCATGCATGCATGAAATATCTTACCCATGCTTGAACTTGATTTGCTTTTCTGGATCTAGTTGTGTGCCGAGACATGAGGTTCTTCATGAGATTGACGTGAAAGGGGCTATCCTGGTGTGCTTAAATGATAATGACGCGATCAATCCATCAGATGATTTCGCCCATGCGGCCAAGTACGTGGTGGAAGGCGGGGGATCCGGGCTCATCTTCGCGCAATACACAACGGACGCCCTGAGTTCCACAGTGGCTTACTGCCCGGGCATCGCTTGCGTTATCGTCGACATCTACATCTCCAGGAGGATATGCGAGTACGCCATGGACACAAGGTACGTCCACACAAGTAATTCTACAGTCACGGATTAAACCTACTGATGTGGCATCACTTGGTTGGAAAACCCACAGTAAAAATACGTGAGTGCATGCAGTCTACACAGACTACATCATAAAAGTTTCACGAAAATTATATAAATAAAATGGATTCCATAAGTCTATCCCTGAATCTGATCTTCTTTTTGCAATAAGCAGCTCCCCCACAGCAAAAATCGAACCCACGCGCACCGTCATGAGCAAAGATGTGCTGGCTTCGAAAGTGGCGTCCTTCTCTTCGAGAGGCCCATCGGCTGATTACCCGGCCTTCATCAAGCCTGATGTAGCTGCGCCCGGAGCCAACATCTTAGCAGCAGTGGGAGACTCCTACGTAACAAAGTCAGGGACGTCCATGGCAGCCCCGCATGCAGCGGGTGTCGCCGCGCTGCTCAAAGCTCTGCACCCGGATTGGTCTCCTGCTGCAATAAAGTCAGCCATCATCACCACTGGTTAGTAACAACATGCAAGTAGAACATCCAAATAAATCCTAGCTAGTTCATGCACTTGTGGTCTTTACCTAAGTTCTGTTGGTTTTGCTTGCATGGTACAATGAAGCGCATGTAACTGATGGACACGGCATGCCGATCCTGGCGGAAGGACTACCGCGGAAGGTCGCCGACCCGTTCGACTATGGAGGCGGGAACATCAACCCATGCGGGGCAGCTCATCCCGGCCTAATTTATGACATTGATCCACACGATTACAACAAATTCTTTCGATGTGCCAACGTCAAGGAGGGGATATCTGCGTTCGCAAGCTGCGACACCACCTCTATGCCAGAGTATAACCTCAATCTGCCGTCCATCTCGGTTCCTGATTTGAGGAGTGCGATCACCGTCTCGAGGACGGTAACCAACGTTGGCGAGCTCCATTCTGTGTACCACGTCGCAGTCCAGAGCCCGACTGGAGTCAAGATGGAGGTTTTCCCAGATGTTCTTGTTTTCGATGCTGCGAACAAAGTCCGGAAATTCGAGGTGAAGCTGTCACCTATCTGGAACTTGCAAGGGGGCTACACGTTTGGCAGCATCACTTGGCAGAATGACCGACAAGTGGTGAGGATTCCAGTTGCGACCCGAATTACAATTCAGGATTTCTATGCGGATGTTGCATAATGATAAAATAAAACCATGTCTCATGCTTAAAATAAAATCGAGACCCACATGACACTGATTAG